TATTATTTTTGGTTGAAAATATTAATTTTGATTGAATTTATTTTTTGTTTGGTTGAAAAAATTTTTTTTGATTGAAATTATTTTTTTTGATTGAAGATGCTTTTTGTTTGATTGAATCATAAAAACACAAATTTACCTCCATAGTTTTTGAGGGAAATATTGATCACATTGATAAAATATAGGTCACAGAATCCTGCGTTGCAAATATACAAATGGCGTTGTACAGTACTCAAGTATATGTACTCCATTACTGTCCACCTCTGTATATTTAGTTAGTTCAGAAGCTGGTTCACTCACTGCTGCTTTCTTTGTCTTCATCGGTCCAAAGATTCTTCATCATCAAAGACAGCTTCCTGCTGTACTACGCAGAGAGCGAGAGGAAAAACTTTGAGACCAACAGATTCTTCAACATCCACCCCAAGGTGAGCAAACACCTGTCAACTCTTCCAATAAAGTCTTCAAAAAGATTAGCTATTGTTTATTTGAATATATGCTTTGAAGCAGGGAGTCAAACTCGATCCAAACAACAACTTAGTTTTTCTCTCAGGGAGTCATTCCTCTCGGAGGATGTGTGGTGTCGGCCAACGAGGAGATGGGGATGCCTTTTGCCATAGTGGTCAACCTGGAAGATTTCACTGTAAGATCACGATCATGTCACACAACAAAACATCATTATACTGTATAAAGTGCTGTTCTGCTTTCATTTATGTTCATCCTAAAACTTTATTTTTAGAATGATCTCTGTAAGCTTTCAGTGAAAATGTTTGAAGCTTGTGGTAACACATTAAAAATGACTTGAGGCTGTAATCACTGCCAAAGGTGCATCAACAAATTATTAAAAAACTGTGAATGCTTTTGTACATGTGATCTATTAGTTTTTAGTTTTTAATAAATTTACAAACATTTCATAGAAACCTTTTGCATGTTGTGCTGCTTCCATATTTTCCTAATGGTGCGTTCACACCAAACGTGATTTCAGCCTCAGGTTTACATACAAAGACTATGGTGGACGCGCTTCAAGCAGAGTCAGGAAGTTCTGCGGCGCCTCAAGTGTGATTAGAGCAGCGTGATTTGAACGATTTGAACGATCTGAGCGTTCAACGCGCTGAGGCGCAAATCGCTGAAGTTAGAAAATCTGA